TGATAACAACAAGAATGAAATAGAATACAGCACAAATACACTTACATTTATCGAATCATGAATAAGTTTTTGTAAATTATGAATAAATTTTTTTGACAAATAACTCTTCAGCAAGTTACTGAATTCATTGAGCTTTGTTATATCTTTTGAACATATTTAGGAAGCTTATTGAGAATAAGTGAGACCTATCACTGATGGACAATGTAATGTAGTTGTGTATACTTTCGTATGAAGGAAATCTATTCATTCATTATAGTTTTCAAAAACGTTGATTGACAGTTCATAAGTGAACAAACAGAAGAAGGTTTAATTCTGAATTTTCGAAATAAACCTACACGAAAATGAACTAGGATCTCCTGCTACAATGTTGGATGTGAAGTGTCAATTCAACAACAGTTGTTGTCTCAGTGAGTCCACTCTTGAGTTGTAGTGAAATCAACTTTTTTAATCATCAATTCAACATAAATATAATGAACAAGTAGCATCAGTTCATCATTGTTAATTCATTCAACAAGTTTTATCAGTTTAACATTCTTTTATACTTCAGTCATTTTCTACTTCTGTTATTAGCAGGCTGATCATCAGTTGAAATAGCAATTACTAATCCATTAGGCCTCTTTATTGACTCAATGATATTTTGACACTATGTAGTTGCTGAATTAACAAGTAACAGCTGAGAAACTAAGAACTCTCAGTTGTTATAATAGCTTTACTCTAATGAGATAGGAACATCTATTCGATGTGCTATTCACATTGTTTATTGCCAAAATTATTTATCAATTGTCTGTAGATACGTCTGTAGAAGGAGCTTTTTTTCTAAGTTTTCGACCCAAGCAATCATCATCGCGAAATGTGCACCGGAACTGGTTTGGAAGAATTATGCTCTATAGTCAAATAGAAATATGTTTAAACAGTGAGAGTGAGTGAGAAATGCGTAGGAATTTGGGATACTGTATGCAATAACACTAAGTGAAAATACACGAAAGATTCGAGGTGTAAAAAACCAAACACTGAGGAAAATTGTGCTATTAGAGTTGTTGCTGAGATATTTCTTGCTACCATTACAAGACATCATAATACCGTTATACATTTAAGAATAGAAGCAGCACCTTGAAATCCTATGATAGCAATAACGACTTTGCTGAAAGTAAATTTAATTCATTATTCAAAATCTGAATCTGAATCTGGAAATGGAAACATTTCCAAACAATTAAGAAAATCTTCTGTGTCCCTTTCAGTGCTTTCGTAGATCTGATAGTGCTTCAGTTATTACCAGGATTGATGGAATGAATGATAAAAGTGAATTTTTTTCCTTCTGTTTGGTAGGTACCATAAAACTTTGGAATTTTCAAAAAATATGTTCCAGAGCTCCTCTATAGAATGTGATCTAAAACTCATTGTGAGCAAGAATGTCCAGGTTATATGTATAGAAATTATTTGAATGATTTTACTGGTAACATTTTGTTTCCCTGTACGCATCTGTGAGAACTTGCCTAGTTTTCGATATACAATGGTTTCAGAAAGTTTCAGGTGTCAGAAAGTTACAGAAAAATTCTTTTTTTCATCAATTATCATGGATCAATTGATCTATTGAATTTCGTAGATCATTGGTCCGAAATTCTCTCCAGGAATCAATGAATTGCAATCCATACCAAAAATCAGGAAGGAAATTATGGGAACTGAAATTGGATATCATTCATAATTTCACCTTTTTTGATAACAACAATCCTGGAGAATAACTGAATAACTGCAGTAAGAAGGTCATGCAACTATCTATCTATGTTGGGCAAAACGGTTTTCATGTCCCTATCTTTTCTTATGATTAACTATCTACTAACATTTAATTGAAACACATACAGGGTGATCAGAGTTCTAAAATTTGAACCACCCTGTATTCGTTTCTATTAGATGTCAGTAGATAATAAATCGAAAGTTAAGATAGGGACATCGTACGTTCCTAGGAAGGATAGGGACAGGAGGTAGGTATTGGAATTTTTTTTTGACTTCTGGAGACTATATGTTGTTGGGAATACTTCCTCAGGCAATGAATTCCACAGCCTAGCCTTTCTATGGATGAAGGAGTTTTGATAAAGTGCTGTTCGACATCTTTCGAGGTTGACAACGGAAGGATGTACTGACTGGGCTTGTCTAGTTCGTCTGACTGGTATTGCTAGTGAAGGGATGATATCAGAGATTTCCGAAGACCATTTCCCGTGGAAGTATCGATAGAAAAGTGAAAGGTCACTGACCTTTCAACGGTGTTCCAATGATGTCAAAGAGTGACTAAGTGTGGCGTCACCCACAAGGCGAATGGCTCTTCTCTGGATGGAATCTGAGAGCATCAGCGTATGTTTTCGTGCTGAACCCCATATGTGAGAACAGTATTCTAGAAGAGGCCGTATCTGCGCTTTGTAGATCATGAGAAGCTGTTGAGGTGTGAAGTAGCTTTTCGCGCAGAACAAGAATCCGAGTTTTTGTGAAGCAGCTTTTGCGATGGACCTGACATGATTATACCATGAAAGAATGTTGCTGATGGAAATACCGAGCATTGATTCGGTGGGCTTGGTGGAGATCACTGCCAGACATTACAATATCGGGCATACTGAGTTCCGCCTTTCTAAAGAAGATACAGGCTTGAGTTTTGGTGGCGTTGAATTCAACTAGGTTGTTGGTTCTCCAGGCTGTGATTTCAGCAAGGTCTTCATTGACAGCATTGACCTGCCTGCGCCATGAGTTCTTAAATTCCTGGAAAAAAAAATGGGAGTTCTGGATGAGAACGCAGTATGGAGGGTACTATCATCTGCAAAGCTGTGGATGGGGCAAATTATTACTCCCAACAGATCATTGATATATGAAGAAGGAATAATGTTGCTGCCAAAATTGATCCTTGCGGAACGCCGGAATTGATGCCAATGGTATCAGACGATACACCGTCCACCACCACGTGAAGCGATCTGCCTGAAAGAAAACTCGATGAGAGATTTCATAGCTGAGGTGGTAAGCCGTATGATGGTAGTTTGTGGAGGAGTCCTTCGTGCCAAACATGGTCGAATGCTTTCGATATGTCCCACGCGACAGCTAGAGATTCCCCGTGTTTTTCTAATGAAGCTTGCCATCTTCGGTGGCGAAAGCCGTATTGTCTATCATAGATGATTCCTGAGCTCTCCAGATAATTGGTGAGCTCAATATTGATGGCTTTCTCCATTACTTTGGAGATCACTGATAACAGGGCAATGGGCCTGTATTTGTTGGACAGATTCTTGTTCCCTTTTTTGGGGATTGGTTGGACTCTAGCTGTCCTCCAGTATGATGGAAAGATACCCGACCTGTACGAAACGGTAAACAACTTGCAGAGAATCGGTGTTAATTCTGGTGCACATTTTTTGAAGAATGATGGGGGAATTCCATCAGGACCGTTGGCCTTATTCGTTCTGAGACCAAGCAAAATTCGTCTGATAGTGCGTTGACGGAAGACGATTTCGGACATCCGACTCTCAACGGGTGGAATGTCTGGCGGCACTTTTCCTTGGGAATCTGAAGTAGAGTTTGCTGCGAACATCTCTGCGAAAATATTTGCTTCCTCCTGCGATGTTGCTGCTAATGTGCCATCGGATTTGGACAGTGGTGGAAATGAACTATTAGTGAAATTTCTTCCGACCGCTTCAGCAGGGGACCAAAACGAACGGGGGCCATTGGGACAATCTATGAGATTCGATCTTATCTTGGCATTGTATGTTTTTTTCGAAGCATATATTGTTTGACTGCAGGTATTCCTCGCATCAACGTATTCTGCTCTAGTCGCAAGGTTAGGGTTTCTGCGCCAGCGATGGTAGGCTGTTTGTTTCAAGGCAACAGTTCTAGAACAGTTTTTGTTGAACCAGAGTTTCGATAGGGATGATCTTTTCGAGGAATGAGGTATGTATGTTTCCATTCCGAGCATGATGATCTCGGATATTTCCGCAGCACACTGTGAAGGGTCCTCAGAGTCAAAGCATACTCTATGCCAAGGAAACTCGGAGAAAAACATGCGGAGACCGTCCCAATCTCCTGAATTGTAATGCCATACAAGACGTAAGGGTGCCGGAGCAGTTGATGAAATAAAAAATGGGCAGGTTGTGGAGATGAGTGTGGTCAAAATTGCCAAGTGGAGCTCGTACATCTTTGGTGTAGGGTGCTCAATTATTAATGAGGAATAAGTCAAGTATGTTAGCTGAATGGTTATTGGCATCGACATGATGACTTCTGCTGCTGGATGATCCTGTTGAATTTGGTCAAGCTTCAGAGACAAGAATTCGATGAGCTCTTCATAGGATGGATTTGGTGATAAGTAGAGACAACGAAGGTATTTGGTTTGTTTCTGGCTATCGAGTTTGAACCACATGACATCAAACTCATTTGGTTCCAAAGTTGACATGAGAGCTTCGTTTCAGAGTAGAGGCAGAGACCTCTCTTGAATCTGAAACGTGTGTGGAGTTCGTACCCAGGACAGAGCAGATAGGTCGTATTGGTGGATGAATTGACCTGTGTCTCAGTAAAAGCCAATATGTCTGGCTTTTCAATTTGAAGGTGTCGATGGACACCGTTTATGTTTTAACTTAGACCTCGGATGTAACATAGGTTTATCTTGAGGACTTTTCCAGTGTATGGTGAACCCCCTCTAGCACCTCTAGCCCGGAAATCCTAATGGAGAGATATTTTACTTCCGGATAATTTTACTTGAGGAGAACTCATCATCGCTTATTCTGTATAGAATAGTTGTCTCTGTTTATGGCTTCATGGAAACAGAGACAGTCATGAAAAATAAACTTCAGCAGGTAGAGCCGACACAAACAAACAGTCCTATTGAGTTTATTGGTATAGATAGATAATAGATATCCGTATCTTGGACACGTGTAGTGTGTATGCGACACATTATCGTAGTCCTATTTTTGTTATTCACGTGTTATGTTGATGTTATCATTCCGTACTTCTGTAATTATTTTAATTTGTTTGATTTTCAGCTGAAATGCCTGGAGTGAATGTTAAGGCGACTTTTCGAGGGTGTTATCTTCAACCAGAGCAAGAAATGATGAAGAATCTTGTAACTTACAAACACTTCGTCTCGAAGAAACATTTTCAACTGTGTAATTCCTCTTTATGTAATGATGCTAGTTCAACGAAGGTTCCTCCCAAAATCATGCATAACCATATTTTATTACTAATTTTATTATCATTTATTTTCGGAAAATTATAATAATAATAATAATAATCATAATAATAATGAATTGTATTTATTGTCATCAAGAGAACAAACATCAATACAATAAACATTTTCGAACAAATACTCCAGTAAGTAAATTTGTGCGGATCTGAACAAATTGAATAACATTTTGGATGTTCATCAGATATAATTCAATGTTCGACGTGGCAAATAGCCAGGAAAGTGAATGTTTTCTATTGAATAAACTGAAAAAGAGTTGATATTCTCATCACATAGAGAATGCGAATTCTCTATGTATTGCTCCATATAAATATATATCTATTTTTGTATGTTCATAATTCATCTGAGAATATTCCTCTTCAACATTGAATAAATAATTAGTTGAGTATTAATCCTACCTAACTTGATACACAATACCTATTGATAATAACAATAATCATGATGAAATTTCAAAAATAACATATTAATCATAATTTCAATATTGTTTTATGCAAATATAGATAATAATAATGAAGTAAAATGAAAACATTATGATGATAATAATTTTCATAATGATAAGTGAGTAGAGTAGAGTAGAGTAGAGTTTTATTGACTACTTGATGTACATTCATACATTTGTAGCAGTCCTAAATGATTCCATTTTGGTGAAAAGAATGTAAAAAATGATAATTTGCAATAAGAGACAAAAAATATACAATCAGAGACGAATAATATACAATCAAAACCAAAAACAAAATACACATTTACGTTTCCCTCAAGAGTGGATGTTCGGTAAGTGTGTTCCTTATATCAAAATTGTGGCCACTAATGTGAGCCAGATATTTTGCAATCGAGTATACAGTGTGTCCCACTTACCATGCTCACCATGGGTATCTTTTTAACGGTGAGAGAAACGAAGTCGGTTAAATGACACCAAATGTGGAGTTTGTCAAGGCTAACTATAATGTGAAAAAATATTTTGACAAAATCTATTCGTTTTTGTTTTATACGCAAAAAACAGATTTTGATCATTTCCATTTCTCCTCCGTAACTTCTTTATTTATGAAAATATTCGAATAGGAATTTCACATCCTCATGGCAGTTTTCCAAAGTGATTTCGAAAAAAATATGAAATTTATACCAACTCTTCTAGAATTTGAGATATCAGCACCAACTTTAGTTTCTCAAATGAAGGTCATAGCTCACTATGACTTAGTTACAAATAACTTTTTTTTTCTCTCACAGATGATATGTCGCGGTTATAGTTTTGTATAACAATAACGGAGTTATCGTCATTTATAAGAAAACAAAAAATTATTTGAAAGCCGCCATCTTGAATTTATAAATTTTAACAAGAATATCATGATCTCCGACCTCAAAAACCCCCAGTTACCAATTTTGAATGGAATCGGACCAAATCTTGTCCGCCATATTGGATCAGCCATTTTTTTTATTTCAACAAAAATTCCATAATGTATTTTCACCAAAATTATGAACACCTGCCAAATTTCAAGTTAATCGGAGTTATGGAATTTTTGTTGAAATTAAAAAAAATGGCTGCTCCAAGATGGCGGACAAGATTTGGTCCGATTCCATTCAAAATTGGTAAGTGGGGGTTTTTGAGGTCGGAGATCATGATTATTTGTTAAAATTTATAAATTCAAATAATTTTTTGTTTTTGTATAAATGACGATAACTCCGTTGTTATCAACACAAAACTATTACTGCGACATATCATCTGTAAGAGAAAAAAAAGTTATTTGTAACTAAGTCATAGTGAGCTATGACCTACATTTGAAAAACTGAAGTTGGTGCTGATATCTCAAATTCTAAATGAGTTGGTATAAATTTCATATCTTTTTCGAAATCACTTTGAAAAACTGCCATGAGGATGTGAAATTCCTATTTGAATATTTTCATAAATAAAGAAGTTACAGAGGAGACATGAAAATGATGAAAATCTCTTTTTTGCGTATAAAACAAAAACGAATAGATTTTATCAAAATATTTCTTCACATTATAGTTGGCCTTGACAAACTCCACATTTGGTGTCATTTAACCGACTTCGTATCTCTCACCGTTAAAAAGATACCCATGGTGAGCATGGTAAGTGGGACACACTGTATAAAAGCAATTTTTTTCAAAATAATCTCTCATAACTCTCTTGAAATAAAACATATTCATAGTTTTAATACTGGCAGGAAGAGCATTATACAGGGTGTCCGGAAATTATGCGCAAAAAATCAAGGGAGTGATTCTGCATGAGAAAACATGAAATTCATCTCATATATACTTGAGTCCGGAAATGCATAGTTTGCAAGATACAGTGTGTTAAACTTTTTAGAAAAAATCGTTTTTTATGAATATCTCGAATATTCTTCCACCAATTCTCTTGAAGTTTGGTTATGATATTCTTCGTCATGAGGGGTTGATTTAGCCATTTTCAAATTAAAATTGTGAAATCCAGTGGCGTCCCGGGGGCACCCTACCGAATATTTTTGTCAATAAAATGTGCTCTCCTGATTTATTTAAAGTCTCTATCTCCATATCCTAATGATTAACTGAAAATACATCATTTTAGTCGCTTGAATTGTTTCGCAATTTTGATGCGTTTCCGTGAAAAAAAAACCAATTCATTGTATAAATTTGTGCAAAACATTGCTTCACAAACAGGGGTGAAATTAAATGTGTTAACCATGTCCATAGACGTAGAATATGAATTGAGATTCATTTTCTTCAAATATTCCATAATACATATTTGACACACCTTGTATCATCGAAACCTACGCCTTCCTGAACCCAGAATACATAGTTCTCAATATACAGAGTGTAGAGTGGGTCAAACATGTATCAAGGAATATTTGAAGAAAATTAGTTTTATTACTTATTCTCTATCTACGGACATTATGCCGCATTTATTTTCACCTCAGATTTCGAAGGAATTTTTTGGCACAAATTTATGCAATAAATTGGTAATTATTTTTTTCCATGGAAATGAAGCAAATTATTAAAATGACTCAGGAGACCGAAATGTTGTATTTTTAGTTGGTCAATAGTTTATGAAGATACAGAATTCGAAAAAATCAGTGGCGCACATTTTATTGACAATAATATTCGGTAGGTTGCCCCCCGGGACGCCACTGGATTTCATAATTCCAATTGAATCATGGCTATATTAGCCCCTCATGACAAAGAATATTATTGCCAAATTTCAAGAAAATTGGAAGAAGGACATTTGAGATATTCATAAAACACCGATCTTGTTTAAAAGTTTTAACACACTGTATGTTGAAAACTATGCATTTCCGAACCCAGGTACATAATATGGAAAGAATTTTATTTCATTATGTAGAATCACCCCATTGATTTTTTGCGCATAATTTCCGGACACCCTGTATAATCTGAGATCATGAGAATTTTTTGTGATTTGCTGAGTTTGTAGCGTTGAGGTCTAATAAGATCACTGTTGCGAGTATTGTGATAATGCAAACTGGATTGCTTAGGAAGCAGGGGAGCTTTTTTGTGAGTCTCTACTATACTCGTACATTGAAGGTACTGACATTATTTTGAGATTTATAAATGAATCACGACACGAATCTCTGTAACCAATTCCAACAAGAATTCTCAGAGCCTTTTTTTGTAATATGAAAATACATTGGGCATCACTAGAATTTCCCTATAGTAGGATCTCATAAGGAATATGAGATTGAATTAGTGGGCAGAAAACTATTTTCAATGTACTTAGTGAAATTAGTTATAGGTTCAAGTTGTCGAAGTGAAAATAGAGCACTCGATAATTTACTTTACACTAAGTGAATGTATAACAATATATTTATATAAACATTATTGACATAAGAATTGAAGGTTCATTAAGAATATAAATTAGTACAAATAGAGAAAGAAATATAATTTAAAATACGGAGATAGTTATATGGGGTAGGTAGTACATATTCTATGAAATTATTTTGGTAATAGAAATAGCATCCCAATAATTACCGTCCTATTGCGCATATACCCACTTCAGCTTAAATTATTGAGGAGCTGGTTTAAATCCGAAAGTATATTTTGAATTGAATGCAATGGATAGTTTGTCTACTGGTTGATAATATGAATTGATTAAATTTTTGTTTGAATACAAAAGGATACGCTATATTCATTATCTTATTGGGTAGGAAGTTATATAATTTAGGGCCTAGATAGTGAAGGAACCCTACATAAAAGGACGACAATTTTGAGTATCTTCCCAAACACAAGGAATGATAAGGAACAGTTGATGATATAGAGAAAATAATACCTTTGATGGTGTTCGGGTTCCAGGAGATATCGTGTAAGTCGGGTCGGCCACTTGGATTCTAGCCACATAATTATAATCCCTCCATAGAGGCAACAGAATTTTCATTTCCACGATGGATATTCCAAATTGGAGATGTTTCCTTGACCCATTTAATCCCAAGTATACGAAAAATATGAAAATATTTAATATCATCATCATCTCATCATCGGCATATAACAGTTTCCTGGAGTCGATAACTTGGGTAATACCAGTGATGAATAGCAAAAATATTAGTGGGCCTAGATTGGAACCCTGGGGTACTCCAGATGTTGCAACGAACGAAAATGATCTGGTCCCCTCATATTCCACGAATAATTCCTTATCTTCAAGATATGATTTCGATAGAGATTGGAGACCACTCGAAATACCAAAAGCAGATAGTTTTTCCAGCAATAGCATGTGCGATACTCGATCGAAAGCTTTACTGAAGTCCGTGTATATTACATCAACATGCTTTCGGCAGTCGAGTGTTTTGGAAAAATACTGTGTGAATATACAAAGATTTGATACAGTGCTGCGACATTTTAGAAAGCCGTGTTGAAATTCGGAAATCGACGAGCTAACATGACTATAGATCGGATCTGATAATATTATTTCTATCAACTTCGAAGACACTGATATAAGGGCCATGTCTGTAATTTACGATATCTGAATTTTTTCCTGATTTGGAATCGGATACACTCTAGATGATTTCCAAATATTCGGAAAATGGCCATTATCA